TTTTTTATTTTTTATCTAGGACTTAATAAGTTCATGAAGTGGGGCTTGTGTGTAAATGTCCCATAAAAATACAAATGAACTGCAAGTGTAATTTTGAGAATGGATATAATTATCCAATCAATTTATTTCTTTTGTAAAAATGATCTACTTAGCAAATTCTATAATATGAATATTTCAAATTTTCGAAGTGAATCATGGGTTCATATAAGCCCAACAACATCTCTAATTAGCACACAAGAGAGAAACTTAGCCCTTTGATCATTATTGTATTAGCATTGCTACATGTAAAAAATTTTGGTACACAAAATACACAAAAGCAATCATATGAAGGTGGGGGCCACACATGTAGGACCCAATCTCATGTGAAAGCTTCTATGCACTATGTACCAAAATTTTATGCAAATAGTGTTTCTCTTGAGATGTGACTACAAATTGGTGTAAATAAATAAATATTGGTTGAATGACAGTGATTACCATGTAATATGTTGAAAATAGGGTACTCAAGCCAAAGGTCCATATTTAAAACTCTTTGTCAAATAAATTTTTGTAGGTCAAATGGTCATCATTTGTCCAAAGCGACACCCTATTTGTTTAAAACTTACCTATATATTCAAATGTCACTTGTATGTACATGTGTCACCTATCTATGAACCTATTTGTTCAAATATCCCACTATTTGTATACATGTCACCTATTTATTCACATATCTGTTCAATATCACCTATATGTCCACCTCATTATCACCAATTACAGCTACCGGCGACTTTTTTGACAACTTTTTCAGCCAATTTTTGAGAACTTCTCTGAAGCTAACTGTAGACACCCCATTTTTGACCGTCCTTACGACTTGGATATCACCGCTTGCACACCCAATGATGAGTGTATATGTTCGTTAAGTGCTCAGGGTCCTCAGCGGAATGCCACAACTTTGAGCCCTTCAAACCCTACACACCCGTTGCCTTATTTTTGGACCAAAACCAGAGTTTTTCAAGCCTACAACCTCTTGTAGCCTGCCGACCCCTTCTATTGGCTGTCGGCCACTACTTCTGGTTGCCGGCCATAAATGTGTTTTGTAGATATTTTTCTGCCAGCTGTGCCAACTGTTGGCACAGATGCATGCACCTTCTTACATTTGTATGTATTGATATTTCTGAGGGATTTGCATGGTTTTCTATATATGAGAGGTCTTCCCTTTCATTTTTAAGCAAAAATTCTCTCTCTCTCTTTCTACAATTCTCTCTCTCTCTTGCAATTTCTTAGCTTTTTGCAAGCTTTTGCCTATACACTCTTAACCAAACCTCTCCATATTTGAGCTAAGGTACCTTTGAGCCTTGTTTAAGCTCTTGAGGGTGTGTTTGCCTTGATTTGTTGCCTAGAATTGGTTCTCCTTTTCAAGAGGTATAAAGCTTTGCTTCTCTTCTTGCTTTATTTACTTTTTTTCTTACTATTTTCCCACTGTTTTTGGGCATTATAAACTCTTTATTTTTGGGTTAAAACTTTTGGTTTAAGGCCAATAAGGGTTGCGGGGTGGTTCACCCTTCTTTTCACCTTGTTTTCAAGGCGTTTACCCTTGTGTTTCCCACCTTTACACTATCTTTTTTTGAGCTTTTAAACACTGATTTTCAGAGTTATTTCAGTGGCCAAAATGTTATTTTGAAGTCTAAAATTGGAGGGGTTAGCCTTCCCTCCTTGTGTCTTGTTTACTAGCCTAGCATGTTTTACGTTTTAGCTTATTGTTCTAGCTATTTTTGTCTTAATTCCAGTATGTTTTAGGACTTATTTAGCACTGTTTTAGGATTTTTTTGAGTGTTCATTTCATTTGAGCCTTGTATTGCATGCTTGTAGTGCAATTGTCTTGACAGGTTTGGTGGTTTAGGCCTTAGCCACCATCCTACTTGAGTTGATAGCATTTATTTCATACTTTCCTTACTTGTGATCACCTTTAATCACCTCTGCAATCTCCTTCCTTTCTTGGCTTTTGCTTTGCTTTGAGAGTTGTTTCAAACCTATTGTTCTTTTAAGCTTGAGATTGAGGTTGTCATGCGTAATGGTTTAATCTCTTTTAGGGGTTCATTATCAACGGCATGCCATCTCTCTCATGGCTTAAGCCAACTCTTGGTTTGACACTTTTCTCCTTTAGAGATCTTAAACCCACTTTTGGACTTAATCGATTAAAGAATTGAAAGATAACTAAAATGGAGTAATGAAATTGGTGACTAAAAAAGGGCAAGATAATAATTTGGTTTAGGTTCAATCAGACGTTAATTGAACCCCTGAGTCTTGAGTCGTTTCATACTCATGAGTGATGCAAACGGCTCAATATTCATTGTTAACTACTTCCCTTGATCATTCATGATAGGGAGGTAGTTTTGAGAGTCTTGTTTTGTTGCATTAATTGAATTTGCACATTTGCGGTTCATAAACCATCATGCAATGAAATTGCATCGATTGATGGTTTGTGAATCAAATTTACCACTCCTTTGAGCTGTTTGATGATAAGGAGAAGTAAGTTGTGCAAACAAACTCTTGAGAATACCCTATTCCTGCTCTATTTGCTTTCTATTATAGCAGGAAAATCCAGTCATCAGTGGCCGGCAGGCCATCACTTCTAGCTTGCTGACCACCTGTGCAAAATCCAGCAGCGTACTTTTGAAGCAGAACATAATTGGTCTTGAGGTGGAAAATAGTGCCAATGTTCTACTGTGCAACAGAGGCATTTGACAGCAGAAACAGTGGCTTTTTCGGATGGAAAGTCCGTGCATGCATAAACATTCCTCGTTTCCCGAGGAGGAGTAATTTGAGTAGTTAATTTGGTTACTTCATGTTGTAATCAACTAGTTAGCTAAACTAGTTATTTAATTTTGTCTTGTAATAATTAGTTAAGTAGTTTAGCTAAATTATTCATTTGGGTTTGTAATAGTTACTTAATTAGTTAGCTAGTTAGTTCATTTGGACTCTCTTGCGTAAGGGCAAGCAGTTGTAATAACGTGCATGTCTTCAAATCCCACTTCTTTCTCCCTTTTATTTACTTGCTTATGATGGTTAGTTTAAGGCATCATGTTTTGTTTCGCATTCTCCATGTTTGCATCCACTTGTATTGCATACATCGAGGCTTGGTTCATCATTCTAACTTGCATTGTTAGTTAAACATTCTTTGAATATGTGCTTAGACCGCATGTTATCAAATTGATTCATACGCCATATTAGTAGCCGAGCCTATTAGTTGCATTTTTGCTTGCGTTGCTTTAGTCATATTGCATAGTTAGGAATCATGCATCTTTCTAACTCATTTATCTTTTGGCTTGGAGTACTAGGTGAGCCTTTACTCACTTTAGCATATTGCATGAGTGTGATTATTGCCATGTTTAACATGCTTGCCATGAAGCTACGTGCTTAAATGATAATTGCTTGAATACTTGTAGATGAGGGCTTATTGCTTGAATTGGAATAATTTGAGTAATGTTCATATGCCATCACTTTTTCAAGTGGTACATATTTCGAAACAATTTTCAAAAACAAACATGAATAAAGTGTTCTAATTCTTGCAAGTTAGTCTATACTTGTGTGTGTGTGCATCACATAGTAATGCTAGCCTAAGAAACCGGAACAAGAGCATATAATGTACATAAGATTCATATCATGATTAGTAGAGGCCGATCTTTGATCGGGCGAGTGGGGGTGCTCAATTCAAATTCAGAGCCGTGGGAGTTCGATACAGCAGGGCTTATTCGTCTTTCAATAGGGGGCATGAAAAGTCGAGCTACACTAACGACTTTTCAACCCGTGTCTTTATCACCAAAAAATATTAAACCTTTGATTAAATAACATATGACCCCATAAGAATTGAATTCACCAAATATTTAAAAATATAGTTGTTTGTTACTGTTGACTTAAATCTTATAAATTAAAAAATAATTACTAGTGATGTATGTCAGTTTCCCAGTAGTCCAATGGTTGAATGCTAAGTCGATCTAAGTAGTCAGACCACAACCTTACGAGCTAATGAGGTGTTAGATTCAGCTTTCTGTCTTAATTAACTTACAAAACAAACCCTTGAGGATCCACTGGTGGGTGTCTTCCCCTTAGGTCCTCTGAAGGCCAAGTTAGTGTTATTGACGTGGTGGTGAAGTAATGTTATGTGTGTGCATGAATGGTGTTCGCATATTTACCTTCTTTTTTTCCATTGTGCTTATCTTAGGTGGATTTGTCGTATACCTCTCATAGGACGCCGTGTAGCGTATCATCCTTAAGTGTTGTGTTTGATGCACCTGTAAGGTCAGGTGGTAGGTGGAGCTTTCAACGCTACCTGTCCGCCGTGTTTTGTGATGCTATTGAGAAGCTATAAGAAGTCAAACCTTTGGATTTGGGATCGGCAATATTGGGTCCCAAGTCTTCATGGCCAACTGAGCCATCTCGAGCCTCTGGACATGGGTTAGGGTGATTGTTTTGAGTTTGCATGAGGGTGCAATTGGGTTTAAGCCCATGGTTGAACTAGGCCGCTTGTATTTGGGCCATAGTCATCAACTGGCACTACTAAAAAAAGTACTTTTTGCGACCGCTACAAACTGTCGCAAATAATAAAAAAAAGTCACAAAAGACTTTTTGCGACTGCCCATGCGACGACAAATGAGGGTCGCGAATGTGGGGGTGGCAAATACTTTTGGCGACCGCAAAACAACAGTCGCAAACTATTTGTGACTGCCTAACCTACTTATAGCGACTGATATTTTGCCATCCCAAAAGAGTTTAAAAAATGCTTACAATGTATTAGCGACCATCTTCTTACCGTCGCAAAAAAAAAAGAAAAAAAAAGAAGAAAAAAAAGGCATGTATATCTATATATACATTCAAATATTATATACAATAAACGTAAAGACATATTTGCAAAAATCTCAACATTCATGCATTATTTTCCATTTTTTCCCTTAATAAAATCTCAACATTCATGCATTAACACTTCTTCTACACTTTCTTGTTTTTCTTTCCTCGGAACTATCACAACCCTGAAAATATACTTTCCATTAAACAAAAGAACTAAACAATCAAAAAGAATTGAAAGTGAATTAAATACACATCCATGCTTCCTAGGTCCACACAATATTCTTTTCTTTTTTTAACCTAAATGATGTGTAAAAAAAAAAAAAAAAAACTGCTCTACTCTTACTTGAGTGTCTTCTTCTTTTCCATGTAACGCATACCAGCGCTGCTCCTACTAGTTGAAGGGAATAAACTTTCAGGACACAATGGAGGCGGCTCTCCCATGAGAACCATTGGAGAAGCACCAGTCTTGATGATCTACAACACTACGCTCCACGCTAAGACCAGAAAATCAGATGCTGGAAAGGGCATGCGTTGCAAAGCAAAGGTTTGGATCAGTTTTAGAGCTTATCACGGAATCAGCAGATGCCGGATTGCTGATAGCCGGCTGCATTGACTTAACTAGTCCAATTGATGACCCCTGGGGAAAACAAGCAACATTTGATGATAAGTGCATTTTAAATCAGATGTAAACTCACAATCACAAATAACAAGGGGTTTCAGTAAAACTTCAATGAGAGAAAGCATAAGCGTTTATTCAGTCACTCCAGCAGAAATATTTGATGACATACATGCAAGTGTGAAATGTTTGCTAGAACGTGATTGACAGGTGTTGAAAGGAGATGAGAGGTGTTTATGTTAGTTTGGCAAGCAATAATCATGTCAGAAATTCAATGCTTCCTCGTGCCATCCATGCAAAATCATTCAAGTGTTTATGCAAAGAAATCATTAGCTACTCCACTCCAATGATAATTGGAAAACCACAGGGCACTTTTTGAAAACAAACGCACACTCACAAATAAAAAAAGAATCAAGATGCATGGCCAACAATATTAAATATTATTACCCATTGTACTCTGCATCCTAATTCCAGAAATCTTTTACTTTCCAAAATATTTGCACTGTTAACAAATTCTCTTGGTTTATAAATAGGATAACCCCACTAGAACTCCACTTTAGCTTCCCAAGCTCATGAATTTCCATGAACTCACATCTTGGAGGAAAGGAGCTCTAATTGGAGTGCCAAAGGCACAATTTGAACATCAAGAATTGTGAGAAGTAACAGTAAGCTATGGTGGGGGCTTTTCCATGGAGGTTCCGAAGGAAGGTTTACTCATACAAACACTACTATAATTCAAGTGCAGGAAACCTAAGTTGCACTTACCAATCAAATATTGGAAATGAGTGACAAGTTTCAATATCACCTGAGGGTGGTAGCCTGATGGACTGGAGGTCGTGGGTTCGAGTCCCATAGGTAGTCACTAGGGGGCACAAAGCTCATGCATATACCAAAAGAAACCATATCCACCAAGAACATTCCATTTGACCAAAATTTGGTAGATAGGAAAGAAAGCAATATTTATGAACAAAGTTCCATTTCTCACAAGTCAATGGGACAAAGATGTTAGAACTATGCATTGATAGTGACACATTGTAAAGCAGAAAGAGATGAAGAACTAAAACAACAAACAAATGAGCCGATTATAGCTGATGAGAATAATAAGAATAAGATTAAGCAACATAAGAGAAAGCAAGAGTACCTCAGCTGCATATGTGCCTCGATGGTTCAAATCAGCATCGGACATGTCCTTCACTCCTAACAAGCTACCAATTCCATCGTTACCGAACAGTTGTTCTGGATCATTAAGAGCTACACCAAATATTTCTTCATAGTTCTCAGTATTCAAGTCAACTTCATTCATATTGAAGTCCTCATAGGATTTATCATATTCTTCTAAATCAGGTGCTTTTGTTCCAGGACAGCACGTCTGCATATTAATTAGCAGAGGTCAGATTTTTACTCAAGCAACAAAGTAAATAGGTAACCCTAAACATATTCATAATACTATAAAGTTGATCAGTTTTGTATTTTGGCAATCTTATTTGATCTAACAAATTATCACTGCATGCATTTTATTTTAATCTTCTTTACAAGCATGGCTAGGATTAAAAACGTGTCATATAACATTCCAAGAAGAAAGGCCCAAAGCTCAAAGCCAACGAAGACCTCAGAAAATTCTACTAGATTCTTTGAGATTTAATTTCATATCACATAAATGGAGTAACATTATGTCATATAATTTTCACTTACATCTTATGGAACAATCATGGAATACTAAAATGAAGACCTCAGAAACTAGAAGTTAGGTAGCCAAGCAACAGGTAGCAACATTTCAGGATACCTTAGCTCCAAGAAACCTCATTTATTAAACAAATGTGATAAAATTTATCATCCACCAAATTCCACGAACCTATAAAAGTTCCAAATCATATTCTATGTCACCAAACTCGACAATAAAAAAAATAAAAAATGAAAAATAAAAAGGAGACGACATTCTCACTTCCCTTCTTTTTTCTTTTTTCTTTTTGAAGTGTGGACAGAACATATAATGTTCAAAAACTAGCTAAAAACTTTTAGCTACAGCAAATCAAGTAGAAATTCTGATTTATGTTATAATGCCATCTAACCACATGATTTTATGCATTTTTCCATAGCAACATTCCAATATTTAAAACAAATATACATATAGGAATAGAAGAAAGAGAGAAGAAATACATATAGGGGGTCTCTCATCATTTATATTGCTAATATATTTAAATCATTAGTTTAGTTTTTCCAAGAGAAAGAAGTACAGTATGATGATTTCATGCTATAATTGAGAATACATATTCACACACACACCCCATTGGGAATTGATGAAAAGGTAAAGCCGTACCTCAGAGCTCACTTCCTGTGTAGCTTTATCATGGACCTTAGAATACGATTGGCCAGATTCAGCAGACCTTAGAATACAAGTCCTGGAAAAGAACCAAATTCACTTCAACAACTACATATGCACTTCATTTTCACATTCAAGTGAAAGGAGACTAAAACAATGTTTACAAGACCTTTTTACCTAACATAGTAGAACCAGACTCCACTAACTTCCTTCTATCTATTTTTTCTACTAGTGCTTTGAGCTCTTTGCTTTTCTTCAGTTTACACAACACACCACATCTTATTTTATGACCTTTTTTTTTCCCACTTACCCGCATGTAGAACTTATACCCATTACAAAAACTTGAAATTTTTTCTCCTGGTCTTCAATTATAACATTATTTCCTAAAATAATCTTTCTAGAAATAAGAAAAACAACAATCAATGTAATTTGAGTATTTCAACACAAAACATGGAGTTTTAACTGAGCAATTTAACACCAGAAGGCACTACATATATACTTACATATATAAAAAAGCATTTAAAAGACTTGCTTAGGCACTAAAAGGTCAGAATTCTTCACTAAAATTTCTAAGTTTACAAGGTTTTCACTTATTCCTTTAGAGCATAGCATAAAAGCCACCAAAATCACAATTTTTTGCTACCTTTTTCTACTGCATAGAAGAACTACCATCTCTATTTTTTTTTTTAGTTTGCTAGCTTACAAGCACACACAACCCTCTTTTCTCATGTTTTCTACAAAGAGATCCCTGCATATGTTAAAATTACCCACTACAGGACATACATACACTGACAATTTCTAAACAAAAGATTATTATAAAAAATTAATAATAGTAATTAGTTGTGGCTCATGTAGTTATTGGTTAGATTATTATAAAATTATCTCATTTCCTATACATCAATAATGGGCGAGTGATACAAAAGGTTATCAAAATAGAGAAATTCTATAGCTCACATCTTTAGTATTCTTTTATTACCAGAAATGAAAAATAACTTGATATGCAGATTGGAATTTTAAATTGAAAAAACAAGGCAATGGGATGATAAATTCTAATTCTATTTACATGGGAAACAAATTCAAAGATCCAAAGAATAATAAATAAATATAGAATAAGAAGTCAAACAATTAATAAATAAATACAGAATAAGAAGTCAAACAATCCTAAACTTTACAATGGTTTACAATATGAAAGATAGAGCTGCGTGAAGTTTTAGTTTGGAAAGCCACTAAACTGACATTCTTGTAAAATCTCATATAGAAGATGGGGACAAGAGTTGGGGACAGAAGATCCCAATAGAAATGATGGCATTCTAAAAAGCTCACCTAAATGTGTCTCATTATTTTATTATTAACATGAATGGATATAGAGAGAAGTAAATCAAACTTTAGCAGTAAAGTTTACCTTGCAGAAGAAACGGCGACAACATTAGTTTGACCTGCTGAGTGTGCAAAAGATACTAGGGTTTCAGCTTGCATTTCAATTGAATGTTTACCGCAAAACTTATAACTTGAACTCAAAACCTGCAAACCTAAGGATGCACAGACAGATCATAAATGATCCAAAATTATAGATGAGAAGGCTAGATAACTATTTATAGGGAGATTCAAAGACCGAGAGAGATAGAGAGAAGCAAACTGAAGGATATTGAAGCAACCAAGTATCAATACTGAAAATCATATTTTCCATTTTTCCCTCCAATTTTTGAGCAAGCAAACAAATTAATAGAGAGATTGAAGCAACCAGATATCAAAAAAGAGCCAACACATCCCCTGAGTTTTCCAGAAATTAATCCAGTATATCATCACAAACTTCCACTCAATCACATATAATATGTACCAAATCACTCCAAAATCTATACACATAGGTATTTGAAATATATATAAATAAGAGAATAATTGAATTAAATCAAAGTGATTCACTCAAATATCAAGAGTTCAAACACATTCAAATTGAATATTGCGAGGGTCATTTATCGAGCCAAACCCTAGGAGTAGATTCAAATCGCAAACTAAGAAAAAATGGAGTAAGATAGAAATAGAGAGAAGAATTTCCGAGAGAAAGTACCTTGAACTCAATCGAAACCCTAGGTGTAGATTGAAACCCAAAAACAAGAAGAAACAGAGAAAGAAACTTGAGAGAGAGAGCGCGCACCTTCAATGATCGAGTTCGAAACAGAGAGAGCACAAGATTGAGAAGAACATGAAGGGGAGAGAGAGAGAGAACGAGATTGAGAGATTCATACCAGTGCAAACTGAGAGAGAGAGAGAGAGAGAGAGAGAGAGAGAGAGAGACAGAGCAAGAATGTGTGCAAGAGAGAGAACAATCAGTGTTTGTGAAGGGCAGGGCAAATAAAAGGAAAATGGGAAAATAAATAGAAGGAAATAACGAATAAATTAGTTATTTGCGACGGATAATCGGGTGGTTGCAAATTATATGGTAGTAAATAGTCATTTTTTAGTTGTGTGGGAATCATGAATGAAATGCTTTTAGTTTTTTGATTTTTCCGTTTAGATTATTTACTTTCTTATTAACCAAAAGAAGTTGCACTTAAATAGGCCAATAAACACTAGTGGTTTGGCAAGAAAATCATGACCTAAGAAGGTAGTTTTCTCTATTTCTCTCTCTTTTTTTCCCTCTTATGTTTTTTTCTCATTTTATATACTTTTTTACCTTTCTTTCTCTACATCGATCCATTATAGAGGTAGCTGAGAAAGATTGTAATGGCAGAAACGCAAATGTATCCCTTTTTTTATTTATTTATTGTTTCTTAGGAAAATTATGATTCCATATAACAAATTGAAAATAATTACAAACACGTAGGGTATAACATTTTTCTATGCAACAACCAACTTTCACCTTTTGGTAAATATTTTTTCAACTTCTCACTCTTGTAATTCCCTCTCTCTCTCTCTCTCTCCATTTACGCTCTTTCTTATATCTCTCTTTTTTCACATCCCAAGCGCACACCATTACTTCTTTGGTTATTGCCAAGATGATAGTAGAGGGGGTTTTGAGGTAGGGCAGCATTAGAAGTTGTGGAAAGAGACCCTTGGGATGATGTGATTGTTACGGTATGAAATTCAGCTAGTTTGATTGTGTTAAGAATTTTATCTAAAGATAAGGGTTGTGTAACGCCCTTATATTTTAACCCATTTTATAATTATTGATCCTTTATTAATCTCCAATTTCAAAATTCAAAGAAAGAGTTAAAGAAAATTAATTAAAGTACAACCATTTCACAAGTCCAATGTTTATCTCTTCTCATTAGATTTCTCATAGAAGTTACATTTCACTTTACAACATTATTGTTCAAAATTATAATACATTACAGTTCAAGAAATAAAAAAAATACAACAAAATGCCCAAAGAGAGCTTACGCCTTTCAAGGGTAAGGCCTTAATTATACACATAAGCAGAATTCTATCCCAAACATAGAAGTCTGTTGGTTGTAATCACATAAAACATCCAAAGTGAGGTCTCGTGCTTTATCAAGACCACCACCAATTCCTAGCTGAATGGATGCACATCACCACAACCTGAAATGTTTGTTACGATGTAGATGAGTGTAACCAGCCCGCGGAGGGGGGCCTCGCTACAGTTCGGACTCGATTTTTGTGTCGCGGCTCTTAATCTGAACCAAAGAGTCCAAATCTGGCAAATCGTTTTGAGAAACAGATTTTTGAAAAAGTAGTGCCAAACATGGACTGCTTTGCCAGATACAGAGTCGCCACCTAAATATTTTTTAAAATGGGAAATTTAGGAAACCCTGACTCGGTGCCGAAGGCCACATGTCCGTCATCACCGGAGTTGTCTCGGCTCGGGAGCTTGGGTACGATCGGGGAAGGTCAGCTATGAGCACCCCCTTTCGCCCGGTCCAAAGACCGGCCTCTACTAACCGTGATATCCGGTTTTGAAAACTTTATGTGTTCTTATCCCAATTATTAGCCTATGATTACTATGTTATGCGCACAGCAAACAAGTATAGACCAAATCGCCCAAA